TGAAAAATACTTGCCGACAATCAATCATAAGCAGATGTTAGACCCGCATAAACAGTGTAATACACATGAAAAAAAAAATAGGTCAACAAAAATGTATGTGCTGTACATATTTAAATTCCATTTTCTTTCTCGTTTTTCTTACTGTCCAGTTATTTCAGGGAAGAATGCATAGAAACATTAGCATTTCTCTAGTTTTGCTATTATTTCTCCAGCCTAGAAAAAGATGACAAATGATGAATAAGCACCTTAGTTAAGTTACTTCCCCAATCTGCTTCTTAACTTGCCTCTGAGAAACTCATGACTTTTGCTCCCAATGCTGACTAAATTAGTGCTATGCTACAGAGCTAATGCATGCAATCTGAAGAGTGCTCATTGCCTCTCTTATCTGTTGTACCTGTTGACATCAGCAGGCCATTGCCTTCCAGTAAAAGGAAGTGACTTCAAGTCTTATACAGGAATGGCATTTCCCTTGGGAAAACTATTTAAAATTGCCATGGCCACCTAACGTCACATAACATTGCTTACTTCCTAGTTTCCATTTTTTCATGAAGACACTTAATTTCTGCACAGCTGTGACACAAATGTGTTAAGGTGTCTTTATTGAGTGTTGCCTTTTGGCAACAAGGGAAGTACTGCATTCAGCTGTCACATGTGCTCCAGCCAGCCATGCAAGACGTGTAGGGAGAATATAGATCCAAACTAGTGTGTCTTGGAAGTGATATGATATTTTAGTTGGAAAGTTTGAGTACTAGCAAATCATCTATAACAGTACAACAGGATATAACATACAGTAGTAGTTTTAATTTAATGATGTTTAATGACAGAAGAAAAGGAAATGGGAGATTGATCAGTATTTAGGAATTTACACAGGAAGATTAACTGATAACAACAATGCACAGCAGCTGCTGCAGTGCCATGGTATCCAAAGAGTGTAAAAGTACAACGCAGCAACTGTTTGAAGTACTCTTTAAAGAGAGCTACTTAATCAAAATGTGAAATTCTATTAGGCCAGGTCCTGGCAGAAGCATATTTTATTACACTTTATTCAAAATGTTTTTTTAAATCTGTTTATTAGCTTATCAAGCTACAAACACTCCTACATATTTAGTTCTGCAACTGCTGCCAAATGCCCTACGTACTGAAAATGGTACGACAGATATAATATACCTGCATTACCACAGCTGTCGTGTTACAATGTGCATCAGACAGATGCAGTCTTTTTTTCATTATCTGGACCTATTATGGATTAATGCAATTCATTGTGCCAGAAATTAAGGCACCAGAAGCTAAATATCATCTCGGTGTCAAGGAGGCTAATTTAAATACACCATTATTCCATCACTATTGCATTTTCCAAATTAAATGAACAAATAAAACACATTTATTTCCCATTGACTTTAGTCTTTTTAATGAGTAGTTAAAAATAGAAAAATGAGAATGCACACAGTTTAGTGTATAATTAATTGAATGCCAGTTAACAAAACTGTACAAACCCTTGGTTCACAAAAGGAGAAAATGTGATAAATTTGAAAATGAACATGCAGATTCACCCACAATATCAAGCACATTATATGTTTTTTTGTATAACTGACACGTTATATGCACTAGAATTTCTGTACAAACGTTTCTGTGATCGGTTAACGTGTTTGGCGAAAAAGCACATTTAAAAACTCACACAGCACATGCATACTAATGAAGAAGGCTAGATGGCCCTTCCACTACTCTGCTGAAATCTAGTTCACACTCTTTTTTCCTATTTTGACCCAGCTGCCTTCCAGTTCTTCAGAGAGACAAAGTTTCTGCAGTGTCGCCTTAGCGACCATTTTCCAGCTGGCATTACTTCCTGTCCTTGGTTACCATGCCAACCCCTAAGAGGAAACATCACCACAGGCTAGACTGTGATTCAAAGAATGTTTTTTTTTTTCTTTTAAAATGAGGATTATGCACAAAGTATGTACCCAGGAGGAAATGTTCTTATTAACAGAAAGGACACTTCCATATAAATCAACTTAATTTTTATGTTCTGATTAATTCGTTTTCAGTTGATAAGATTCAGCGATCCAAAGAACAAAAATGTTTTCTGAATGGTTGTCTAATGCAAATTAGACACGAAGATGTGTTTAGGGAGACATGTGACCAAAGATGTATGCCAGATTAACAGAGAAAAGTCCATGGCACTTGTAGAATCTGCTGAATAGCTTTAACAGACTTCATTAGTCTTACAATGGTTGCTGTTCAGATGTGCCTTTTCAGAAAATACTTCATTATTTAATTTAGGCTTCTGTCATTTTACATTCCTGTAGTAAACTGTTTTTTTTTTTCATAATGAATTCATGAATTAAATTATTCTCATATTGCAATAAATGAAGGAGTAAGTCATGAGAAGATGTCAGGAGTGGATAAAGGTGCTGAAAGGAAAAAGTTTGACAGATTTTTGCTCCACTGCAGAATTTCCTATACTTTTCAGATTTTAAAACAGAATCCCTCCTGTTAAAATCACAGAATCACTGTATGATAATGGTTACCCGGTATTCTCTATTCAAAATGGCTTGAAAACATACATGGTATACTGTACTTGCTACCCTAAATGGGAAGCTGTTGACCCTTGAAATGTTAACACAGTTGACATAGTGGGTCCTCTCCTACTGTATATGAAAGACTATACTGTAGACACATGCATGGAGTTGTTTGTGTTATAAAAAAATCAACTGAAAAAATCAGAACACAGAAAGATGCATTCAAAAGCATATTATAGGTAAAGCTTAGGCTGGTATGTAATTCCATATTTGTTTCAGATTATCCTCATTTACTCTTTAAATGGCAAGAGAAATCTTTCTTAACCCTTTCACAATAGCCTCAAGCAAAAAAAAAAACAAGTGTTAACACCATTGCCTGTACCGCAGTCTCCATGTTCTCCTTCCCACAGAGAGGAACCTCTCACTGAAACATTCCCATTCTCATGTAAATTAAGAAACAGCCCACCCACGTTAAACTCAGCTTCATTCCGAAATGTTGTCTAAGACCTTGGCCTCACATGCCCGTGTGCTGTCTAACACTTTCATTCAGCCAGATCAGTCCTGGCCAGTTCACTCCTTCCTCTAGCTGCTGACTTCCTCTGCCAGTTAATAATTACAGATCAATTACACACTGAGATGCAAATTTTCTTTCTTGGCCTTTTGCTCAATGAGTTACTGTTGCTACTTTTGCCTAATTGTCACTAATGCATTGGCTATAGTGCAAACACATTAAAGGCACACATTTTTGTGAAAACAAAAGTATCCGTATGGTTTTAACTTCAGTAAATACTAGTACAGTGTAAATAAAATACTGTACTGTACATAAAATCAACACAGAAGAAGCCACTGATAATGAGTATTTGGGTAAAGTGAAAAATAATTACAATAAAGAGAGGTTAAAATGGGCACGTACTGTACGTCAAGAAAACTTGTAAAAGAGGGAACTGCATCTGTATCTTCAAGAAAACCCTTCAGCCTTTAAAAAACATACTGATATGAAATACTTTAAAGAAATTATCAACCAAAAGAAGCATGAAACTATATAAAGTATACAGTATATACACACACAAGACAATAAATGTAGAAATAAACAAATAAAACAGCCTGAAACATCATAACATCATCAGCCAAGCTGGAATTTTAACTAAAATATATTCTATTTAAAACATTACTACTTGGTGATTCTGTCCTTTGTAGCTTAATAAACAAACAATCCATCAAAAGCATTCATTGACTGGGGAAACCTGTCTACAGATGCTTAATGTCCTGATTGTTAATGAGGTTACACAAAATAAAATCACCTCCTTGTGACTCTGAAAAAGATCCACAATGTGTCTGAAGTAATAGATAAAGACGTTGTGGGCGAAGTTTTTCATAAAGCCGCCAGAAGAACTTTTCATTCAATGATTCAATTTTGTTTTGGGGAAATGAGTTATGTTCAAATAATGAATGTAACAAATTTAAACATATTTTTCTAGAATTGTATGGTAGTCTTCAACCTGGAGTATTTAATTATGATGTACACAGCAAACGTGCATCCCACCTTATTGCTCTTTATCAAATATTGAATCAATGAGTTGAAAAATATTCTGCACACAGAACAATTATGGGAAGCTACAGCAATGAGCATTTCTGTATTTTACTTGCTTAACATTTTTATTCACAATATCCATGCATCGAACAAAACCATGTGTGCCATCTGTTACACTTTTAAAACTGAATTTCTAATAAATCAATTAGAAGCTGTGAATTTGTACATGTGAAAAACAATTATACCACAAATTACTTTAATGACTTACACTATTCTTTTGACAGCCTTTAGCTTAATTTAATCACATTCATCAACATGCAGAATGAAACCACATGCCAGCCACATACTGTACAGTACAGACTGAAAATAAATCTGTCACATGCTTCTTCTAGTATTTTACCTAAACGTCAGTGTAAAAATGTAAAATTTTGAATTATAAATTTTAAAGAAAATTTACAGGAGAGATGTTAAAGAGCTAAGAGCCTTAAAGCATCCAGTTAACTCCAACATGAAAAGGAGACTTCTTCATATCCACATACTATATACTGTACTGTTAGCCTCCAGTAACTGACAATATTTTAAAGCATATCCTTGTTTTCAATATATCATAATAATTAAGATTTTTGTTTGTTAATTTATTAGATTTAGGAGGTTTGGGTGAGTTGTTTAGACGTTTATCCAGTTTGTTGGCACTTTTTTGTTGGCATACATTTCTCATTAATTAAATTTACCAACTCAAATATGTATTTTGCAATAGCAAAAAAACAAAGAACTGACACATAAAAATAACACTTTTGGAGTGAGCCACAAGACCTGTTAATTGAAACATTGAAATCCTCTCTTAATTTGATGTTAGTTTCGGCTATAGATTAGATCATCATGCAAAGTGGTTTGCAACAAGAAAGGCAGATCTGGTAAATAAAAAAGCCTGATTGGAAGCAATATCCAATGACCTGTCCCCCCCTTCAGGCCCAGTCCTCTTCGCAGTTATCTGTCCTTGCCATTCTGCACCTCACCTGTTTTCACACTGAAGGATTATTCGTTCATTTCATTCCTAAAAAATAAAGATGGGGAGGCTTACAAAAAAAAACAAATAACTGGAGAGTGTATAAAAAACAGACTTTGAGGGGTTCAAGACACTTCAGAATTCCATCTTTTACATACTGACGCTGATATATTGTGTAATTGATATGCTACATACTGACACTAACAGAGACAAATGCTGGAGAAATCTGAGCACATGGACATTTTTCATACAAGAGCACTCACTAAAGATCAAGGGCTCAAACATCAAGGGATGTTATGTTAAACATGTACTATTCACTAGTAGGACCTAGACTTTAATATTCTTTAAGAATATTGTGTACAAATTAATGTGGTCACTGCATTACAAAAAAAAAAGCCCAGACCAGAGAAGATTGACCAGAGACCTTTCCAGAAGCAAAGGAATATCTTTTACTGACAAACTAAATCATCCAAACTTTTTTCGGTCTAGAACAGAGAAGAGAACCAGGGTATCTGAACCAAGTATTCAAAATTCTCAAAAGCATTAACAAAGTGAATTTTGCAAAATAAATAATAAAAAAACAAACCAGAGGGAAAATATGTGGAGGACAGGGATTCCTTTCTTGAAGAAAAGACAGGATACTATTCTCAAATCAATTAGCTACCAATTACAAAACAGGCTACATGGTCCAAATAACAAATCCTTTCATTTGTAAGTTAAATAGTACTTAGAATTGCTGTTATGGTATGGTATGTTATTTTGATGCATGGTATACATGAGTTCCCCTATGATGTACAAGCCTGTACAGAGTGAAATCTTTTTTCGCTTGACTCTACAAGAGTAACTCTGGAGGGTCTTCAGTCTGGTTTGGAAAGCTACCTCCATTACAGTCCAGAGAAATTTAAGTAGAATTATAAGTCATGAATGAAAGTAAGACTGGAAAAAATAGATACAATAATGGGTTCAACAAAGGGTTTGACAGTAAAACTGAGTATTGCTTCAGATGAATGACACAAGCATTTCTTTCATTACAAAAGCCTTTGTTTTAATGCCTATTTTACTACATGATATGATACAATACACTTTATTAGTCTCTAAGGGGGAAATTAAGTTGCCAGCAAAGATCATGGACATACAGTAAATGAACTTAAAAACACTACACAGACGTGACAAGAATAAAACAGACATACTTTATAATGCAGTAAATTGATCACACCATATGGTGCACTATTCTTAAAACAAGAACAGTAAAAAAACAGTAAAAGTCAGGTAAAAGAGAATCTCCTAAAACCTCTCTGTGAGGCATCATGGAGCTAAAAAATCTGTGGGCAGAGGGCACCTGCCCTCTTACTAACTTAATAACTAATGCTCGGTCAGGGTCTGTCTTCTGTGTGTTACATCCCCAACACACAGATGCTTAAAAAAAAAAACACTTCTACTTTTTGCTAACGTCAGTAATTATATTTTATCTATGAGTTCTACACACATCAGTCCAACAGATGACCTGAGGGCCAGGAGCATGCTCTATTTTCTACAGTTGTCCACACACATTTTGTGTCACTGTCCTATTATATATTTTGGAATGTATTGCTTTTCTTTCATACGTTTGTTGAAGTAATATGCATATTTATTGGTAAAAAAAAATGTCCTTCCTCCTTGTCTCATTTTGGATTTGAAACTCTGCCTCTGGAATTGTTGGGATACATTTGCTTGAACATCATCGGCCTGAGAAAATGTGGCAAATGTCACTTCACACTTGAATGCGCACGTCTATTCAAATCATGCTTTAGCCCTGATTGTAAAATCTGCTTAATTCCCTGCATCACATTCATTCAGAACTGGGTTAAAAGATCATGTCATGAATTAAACACAGTACAAAACTGAGCAGCATATTCCACCAGGTTGTTCAGAGAGAATTTGTTACCATGAATTAAAGAATAAGTAAGCGAGCAAGGCACAGAGACCTCTTCAATAAAAGGAGCACATCCAAGCACTTGGTTCTGTTGACTTTTAACACTGTTTATGGATCATGAATAAGTCAAGGTAGTACACTGGAGATAGAAAGTGATGATTTAAAATGAGAAGCTGAGGACAGCAAGAATGTAAACAGTATATTTCTTTTCGTTTCCCAATCATTCAACTGATTTTAATTTAGATCAAAAGCAAACACTAAAAAGACCAAAAAGAACATCTACAAACAAATAAAATGTTATTCATGATTTAATTGTAGCAAATATCATACATACAGTGAGCTACCATCTGGTGGTTCATATACAGTATGCAAATCATTTTTTAAAAACAATCTGTATGTGTTGTTTTGGGACAGGGGGGTTACCCGGGGTTGGTAACCCCAAAAACATTCCACTTCTCCTACAGTTTTTATATACACTCTCCTACCTATGTATTACAGAATGGAATGTCCATAGGGGTGATGCATAATGTCCAAAATAGTGGTCTATCATATGGTACAGTATGTCCCATGACTCTAAAAGTAATGCAGAGCAGAAGTAGATCAGGCTTTTTTCCCTCAATTTGTTGACTGAAATGCAAGGGGCCTCACAAAATAAATGTAGCTCCGGTACACTGACGATGGTAATAGCAGACCTGCATAATGTGTAAATTCAGTTAGCCTCAGGGGTTTACTGTATACACAGATTGGCGCATAAAAAATACCAAACAGGAAGCACAATTCAGGCTGCAATGATACTTTAAAAGGGATCCGAAAGGACAAATATTGGACATACTTACTATTCTGTATATACTGTTTATATTCTATATTCTATTTACTGTTATGGTATATAAATCCAGAGTAACAGTCACAAATACACAAAAACATCCACATGGGAATAACAACATGCTAAATAAAATATTTTGGATAATTAGGCAAAAATCTTGGGACAGGATGCAAAGTTCCGGCAATCTGATGTTTACACACAGTCATCTTCTCTGTTACAGCAGAGACAAATGTGTGTTTCTTGTTAATAATTTACTTTCTTACTGATTCTGCTGCACATGGAAGCACCTTTTGACTGCTATTCATCTGTAGGGCACCATGACTGACAATTGTAGGGAGGAACATGGCACCTGGGATTTTGAATACTGAAATATTGCAGCAGCTGGTTGCAAATCACCCTAATGTCTACCATTTTTTCATCTCTTAGAACATGCTAGGATGACTGGTAGGCAGTGTTCGTGATTATCTTTGTTCAGTTGTCACCACAACAGGACAGAATTTTCAACTCCTTTGCAAAGGGTTTCAGATGGCCAGAGCTATAAAAAACATGGTAATTATAACTTTAATTAAGGCCAGTTGGCAACAGAACGTTCTGAAGATGCTTGGCTGACTATGGTTTGTGCTTTGTGGTGCCGGAAGCTTATCATGACCAAATCCTTACTCATCAACATTGATTTACATGGCAGCAGTGTGCAGCAAATGGAGGTTGTCTTTGTCAAAAAAATAGGAAGATATTACTTTTTACATTAAATCAAGGTGTGATCTGTATTTATTGACTCCAGAGAGAATAATTTGCTAAGATTTATGATGTTGGATGAGATTAGTTTTCTGGAGAAGCTTTGGGGTGCAATTGCTGAGCTTTGATCAGAACATGTTGTTGTGCAGCAAAGGCTTCCAGCTGTTTGTCCATTAGGTCACCCCCAAACACCCACTTTTTAAAACTTGGGAACACGTGCAGGGTATTCATCAAAGAAGCATGTAATTCACCCAGTTAAGTGAACTCTGGTTCCTTGAACATTACGAGGTCTTCAGATGTTTGTCCCATGTGATCTCTCAATTATTCAAGTAAAAAATGGTCTTTGTAACCTATTGTATTTCATTATAGAAGGTTTTTAAAAATCAATGATTTAAAGGCTACTTGTAAAACCTGCTGGATATGGGCTCTCCAGGAGTAGTGTTGGAGACCCAAGGTATACAGGATAGCCTAACTGCCAAAGCTATTAGACAGCATCTTTGACCAGTCCTTACACTGGGGACACAGGTAGCAACGCATTTCCAGCACTAGAGTGCTCAGCTCCTCCCAGCTAGAGCTGACAATGTACAAGTAAACTGAAACAATCCAAAGATACTTTAGAAACATATAACCACTGTGTTATAAGCACAGTGTTTTGTATACATGATTTTTATACATATCATGAATTGTATAATATATATAGTATATACATAATATACTTTCACTCCCAGTGGCACGTTGATTCATTCCTCCAATTAACTCAGTGCACATCTATTCGGTCGTGTTATTGATTACCCAAAACCACTGAGTGTTCATGCTGATGGGTATCAGTCTAAATAAACCCAAGTACACATTTTCTTTCACAATCAATACTTGAAGAGGTCCATCAAGAAGCTCTCCAGATGGCATGATGTACAGAATCATGATGAAGACCATACTTAAAAAGCTCACATCAATTATGCTTTACAGAGAAAAGGTGTTTCCCTGCATCTCGCAGGAAATGGCCTTGAAGATAATGAAGCAAGAACGGCCAACTGAACTGCCTAAGCTAAAAAAAGAACCTTACAGCCCCTCAATGCACAGAACCACATCCCACTGCTCCAATGCAGATTTGTAGGTTTTCCAGAAAACCACATATATTGAAAGTAGACAAGGTAGAAATTACTCTGGTCCAGGGACTTTAGTCTAAAGTATGTGACAAAATATGCATTGGAGTCCCGTCATATCCTAAACATCAGGAAGCATTATCAGGCGTGGCGGAGTTTTGTTTGCTATGCAGCTCAGGTGCTCAGGGGTATCCACACACTGTTGTCTGAATCTGAGATCTGACTGCATTAACTGTATAATCATGGCTCTGTTAACTAAAACTAATTTCTACTTGCAATTTTATGACTCTTATAGTTCCCATGGGCTCATTCATAGCTCATTCTCTGTTAGCACATACAAACCCATCTACTGTATATTCAAAAAACACAAAAAACTAACCTTCATATCCTTTTTAGCATTTTTCAAATAATATGTAACATAATATATCCAGTAGAAAGTCTCCACTAAGACTATGACGTTTAAATGTGTTATTAAATATACATACAGTAGCAGTGTGCTTGACTGTCCTTGAGCAATATCTTTATTCAGTAATATCTATTCTACTTTCTGCTTATTTCAATCAGGAAAGAACGACGGAAGTAGAAACAATGTCTGCTAGATCAGGCGACCATCACACCTACTGTCCTGTACATGTTTAGTCAATGCTGTACATCCTGTATACTTCAAAAAGAATGTCAAGAATTTTCTTTGAATTAGACTGGATTGCCAGTTAAAAGATATAAATTGTCTTAGTTAAGAAACAGACATGCAATTCAAGAAAGCACAGATAATGTTGCTGTTACCCCATATTTCAGAATACTGTTGTCAAGCTTCCCTGAAATCCCTTAAATTAAAAATAAAATCTATCTACCCGTATTTCCGTCTTTATTCATTCCTACAGGTAACCTCTAATGTTTCTTCACAAATATCACAACAGAGTTTTTTTATAAGAAATAATAAAGGATTCTACAAGAGTTTTTTGTAGCAATCTAATGTATTGCTAAAACTATTTACAGTACATACACACAATTAATAATATGCACTTTTTTACTGAAAACCAGTGGATTTTTTTTATATAGTGCTGCCACACACTACAAATTTATATTAAGTTATCCCAATATGGGTAATATGCACTCAAATCCTGAATACAGACCAACATACAGTAGTTGTACTTTCTTTTCATGACAATCACATTTTTGTTGCATCCTCAAGCTAAGTCGAACAGTGGCAGTGCTGTCTTTTGCTTTTCAACATAAAACAACTTATACTTTCTGCTCCTTGGCGTGTTCAGGTGTAGGGAAACCTGCACAGCATCCACAGAAGCGTGTCGCTATTGCTTTTTAGTTGCTGACTCTGCTTCAGATCTCTACTCTGGCAACATCAGAAGCAAGAAACGAAGCACAAGCATATTTAAACAAGTACAATGTGATGAAAAACATGTTTGATTCTATCAAGCTGTAATAATTCCCCTGCCTTGTACTGCCTCATGGGTGTTGCTTTCACTTCATTGGCGACAGATTGTATTCGAACTTGTGAGCCTGATGGTTTCATGCACAAAATTACTGTGCTGTACATGCACTAGGGACAGAAAATCAGCACTTTGGAGGTTGTAATGTAAAGTAAGTAAAGGCTTACTGAGCACTGTATCATAAAACCTTAAATATTACAAAAACAACTAATTTTCTGCATTAATATGATTTTGAGCTCTTTTTATATTGTTTTATTTGGTTTTAAAGATCAGTTTTTAATCATTAAAAAAATAATAGGTGACTCCTGGGGGATGCTCATTCAACCTTCCAATATCCAAAAACAGATGTTTGTGTGTGTGTGTGTGTAGGAGTGTTTAAAAGGTGAAAACCATGCCATGATTAAAGATGTTGATCTGAATGAAACGTTAAAACATGCCTTTATTTGATCATAATTAGGCTTATGTAACACTTCCCTTAGTGGAGTATCTTCCAAGGTATTAAATAAGCTTCAGTTTGTCCAGACTTCTGTGTCTTGTACTAACTGAACACACTCTGCATTAGCACATAACTCCTATCCTCTGTAATCATGTAGAAGGCATCAAACAGTCTAGCTCCAGGGTATCTTAAATATTTACTGCATGAATATAATCCAGTTCTTAACCTTAGATCTGGGGATTATAGCCTTCTCCCTCCCCTAAAGACCAGGCTCCGCACACTGGAAAAGACCGTATCAGTAAAACTCACTGTACAAATTCATTAAAGACTCTGTACCTGCTGAGACTTACAAAACTTGCTTAAAGACATGCCTTTTCACTAGAACCTCTATAGAACTAGAATTATTGTTATAAGTAACTGCTACAGTTTTAATCCTGGTTTCTTGCTGATTCTGTTGGGAATTATACAGTATGTACAGTATGGTACTGTACAGTACTTTGGTGTTGTTGAAGTGTGCTCATAAATAAAGTTGTAGTATTCCTATTGTTATAAAGTGGCTGGAAGATTTCACTCACAACCCTAATGTACATGTACTGTATGCTGTGGCACAGCAAAACCTGATGTGAGATCTGAAGGCTTACAACATTTTTATATACCTGCTAATAAAAATGTTCACTTAAAAAATGGTTAAAGCAAACAAATGGCAAATTAATTCTAATGGGGAATGGAGTGGATAGAGTCAGTATTTTACTAATATGGATAAGATTCACCAGTCTTTTAATGAGGTAACATGCAGAGATGTACATTCTAAATACACAACTGTGCTTGGAGGGGGACAATGGAGATTACCATAAAAATTAGTGTTATGTTTTTTTCCACAGTTTTTCAACCATAAACTCAGTTGAAATGGTACCAGGACAAGCATGTATACAGTTAAGCATGTTCTGTATAAAATGCACTTAACCCTTTTTTTTTTCTGTTAAAGGCAAAGAATTTCCATTATACAAACTTAGAAATTGTTTTTCCGTGTGTTACATAAATCTAGCTCTGTCATGCTTACTATTAGTACAACCAAAGGAAACAAGAACATGACAACCAAAAGAAAGTATTTTATATGAGTCAAAAATACAAAAAAAATATGTCATGAGGCATTCAGGCAACCAGAGACCGAGTGTCTCCTCCTTCCAATTTTTACCATCTGTTGTTTACATAGTTTACTCTCCAGAGTAGGAGAGAGAAAATAGTTTTTTTCAATACGGATATAGGTCTCTTTACTCAGCATAACACAGATCAGCATAGAGTTTCTGTTCCTATTTCCAAATGGTAACAATTGGTAAATAATTTCATTTGAAGACCTAATAATATGTTACATATAGTTCATGTTGTAGTGGATATTCAAAGTCTGTCTAGAATAAAACCCATAATTTATTTATCTGACAAATGGTTTAGAGCCCCTGACCAAATCAAAGCACAGAACTATTTGTCACTGTGGAACATACAGTATGTGTATGATATTATATCCATAGTGGTACAGTATGCTGTTATTTCCAGTTTGTAAAAGATTTCCAACAGGCAGGAATACAAAACAGTTGAAGCATTTACACCACCAACAAGCCTAATCCGTCTAAACTAGTTCACGTACACTTTGCACACTGTACTGAGAGGTTGTGTCTAGCTCCCAGTATTTGATCCAAAGAAGAGCTCATTTCTACAGAGAGCTGACTCACAAATACTTGCAAATATCAAAAATGTAACTGGCAATTTACCACTTAGGGCAGAGTTGAAACCGAACATAACTTAGTTGTCCCTCAGCAGAATCATCATCAATCAGTATGAGCTGCTACAGTACTTCCAAAAAATACATCATGCACATCATTACAGGTATGTGTTATATTCACAATGCACAACTCCAGCATCTCTAGCGGCAATGACTACATCACTCTGCTCCTCATATTGGTGTATTCCAGCTGTTACAGCTGCCATCTGAATGCATATATAGAGGTGCATTACCATCAACCATCTGCATTGTGCTGGTGTTCTCACATGTGAATGTCCTAAAAATGCCCATTCATTGAAATTATGACAGTCGCTGTAATGTCTTTGCGGTGCACAGGTACAGTTTATATGACATCTGAAGTTGTTTGTAACAGCCTGCTGGCACATTCCAGCTTGATGCACACCCAGAGCTTGATTACTCTCATCATTGGATAAGCATGGCATCACTGAAAATGGAACAGATTTCCTTGTTATGAATTCATGCTTGTGTGACACATCTTCCTCAACAGTAAGCAGTTACTGCTTGTGTCTCAGTGATTAAACTGAGTCTACATTTTGGATGTACAATTCAAGGAATTTGTGATGTGTCATGCTTGAATACTCTCCTTTATCACTAGTTGAAACATCAAACATATGTGAATCAAAAACTCCTGCATGGCATGTTTATACTGTATAACTACAATATTTAGATTGGACTTTTTTAAGTGTCTGTATATAATTGCTAAATATGAGTCAAATAATTAACTCAATTTTAAATCCATATTGTAAAAAAGTAAAAATATATATATATTTTAAGATAAGCTAAGGATACACAGAATCACCAGCTCCAATCATTCTACGGAACATCAGTCAAGTTTAACATTGGTTCCAAGTGGCTCTACATGAAAGGGTGGAGTAAACGATCTCAAAAGATTAACACAGCAGAGATGATCGTGCCTGGCATCTGCTCAGATGGAGGAGGGTGATGTTTACCTGCCAGCTCACTTGTAGTCACTTGTGTTCGCATTCCATTTCGGCAGCTGGCCACCCCTGCAAGAAAGAAAATGGCATTGCATTACAATGAACTTTTCTGAAATCTCAGATGTCACTCATTGTGAGGCTCGGTGCTTTGCCATAGTTCTGCATACAGGGCCCTAGTTAATAAGGCGCAGGAAAATGCTTTTTGTGAAAAGAGTTGGCATGAAGCCATTGTATTTGATTAATAGATGAAACTTGATGAGAAGCTGGCATCCACTTAAGAGCATTAGAATTTCTTTTTGTTAGATCATTAAAAGAATTCTAAAAGAAAAGAAAAGATTTTCTGGAAGATTATTACAGTTGTCTTAAAAGTATTTCAAGCATGTATTTAAATTTATTTTATACATTTAAAAATATATAATCAACAAAAATATCAAAATGCTCAATTATGCATCCTATTAATGGTGTCCTACTGTATTTTATAATTATTTGATTTAAGGATTTTACATATATTTTTTAAAAGCCTATTATTTTAAGTGAATATCAGTAGATTCAATTATTTACTTTCTCTGAAATTCAACTTCTCTTCTCCATTCTAAGGAGGGATTGTAGGCTTGTAGAATATTAAAATCAAAACCTAAACCCTAAAGCTAAAAGTTCTCCATACACCCATGATCAGAAAGCCACTTCTGGCAAGGATGTTATGTTGAAAAGAGTTAAAAGAGATCAGCACCACTAATCCAAGTCTTCCTTCAAGTAGTGCTGTGCCAGTTGTGCACTGTCACGTGGGGAAGGCAATCACAGTCACAGAAAGTTACTGTGGTGACATGACTCAGGATGAACTAGTAACATCTGGATCAGAGAATTCAAGATAAGCTACAAGAGAGCACAAGTTAATGACTGAGGCAATGGGGAGTTCATATCCAGTCTCGAGCTTATCTGCTGCATATGCAATGGGCTTGCAGGGTGATAATGGAGTGGAAGATGACTTCATTATTGAGAAGCCATGTACTGTATCTATGCTGTACATCTCCCGGGTTTTTATGAGCTCTGCAGCAGTATGCAAAGATCACAATTCAACAAGACCATGGGATTGGTGATTTTAAACATGAAATATATTTATTGTTAAAATATGTTAATTGGATCCTGCAGTTCTATTTCTAATTCCTAAAAGGTTTTGACTGTAACATTGTATTCACATCCACACATCATAGTTCTAAATGTAAACACTGATCCAGAAAAAAAAAGATCCCTGATGTACAGAATATCTCATCAATATGGTTCTTTAGTCTGTGTTTCTGTTTTACAGTAAGTGATCATGGCATTGTTGAATTAGTCATCTTCAATGGCAATGCAAACATACGTTTTTACATAAGTACAATTGTCTTTTGACGTTTGATGACACTGGATGACAAAAGAGAGGCAAATCAATAGTTACAGAAGGTGTGTGTTTCCAATTTCTTCTTAATTCAATAATGGATCATTGTATGCTCTATCCTAACACAAGCCTTTGGAACCTTGGTGAAATATTATTAACAGCTTATCTTTCTTAAAGTGTGAAAAAACACTTCTAAAGCAAAAGCTGAGATTCATTCTTATTATAACCAGTACATCAAGAGCTGCACAGTCTATTAGAAAAAACACTGTCCTTAATGTCTAATAGATGATAGTAAAACCTACATCTACAGTCCTTTTGGGAGGCTAAAAGTGACACCACTGTAACACTCTTATGTGCAGTGTTTCATGTACTGTAAAAGCATTGTTTATAGCAATTTACAGCAACCTCTGTGTCAAAGTAAAATGACCAGAACTGATATTAAAATACATTATTTTAAAAAGCCATTCTTCCTGTATCATAATAAATACCAGTGTATTGCATGTGCTGGATAGCAACTCTCCTAATAATCACAGACATGTACATCTGTCCCACAGGATAAGGAATTTTGAGGGGCTTATATTATGTGTGCTTAGGAAATGATACAATAATCCTTGGAAATTACAGAGCATACCAACAAATTACATGTGTCAAATATCCTTAAAACTTATCATAATCTTATACTCTTATTAATGAAACAGAATGATTGCAAGGTAGTGTAAAATCTGTAGTGAAAATAGTAGTCATTTTTTGTTTTAACCATATTTAGTTTTACCCAGTGATGGTAGTTCCCCATTGAACAATGGTTTTCTACACAATAAGCACAACTGCTAACAAGGGTTGCTTTTGGGATAAAGTCGTGATTTAATCATGACATACAGTAAGTAATTTGAAAGATAACATTATAAATATTTGGTTTATTGTGTGTGAAACTGTTAGCTTTCCTGATCAAGTCAAAAGCATGAACTGTTTATGGCAAGTAGGGTCAGAAACAGGGTGAGACTGTCATGAAGCTTGTAAGGCCCTGACGCAAAATCACCTTTATTAAGTGACTGTGCAATCCCCCTAGATTTAATTCTAGGAAGTTACCATGGAGAGGTCAAACACAACACATGTTTCAGAATTTCCCTACAATAGCCATCCTTGTTTATCTCTGGCACTGAAAAGATCAACTTTTCAGACATGAGAAGAGCCCTTCACAACCTTAAACTGTTAATCCACTGTAATCAACAGCACAAACATGTTCCAGGCACATTCCAGGTTTCTTTTGCTTTGGTTTTTCATCACCTAAAGGCAGGAATGTGCAGGGTTTGTCTCTGTTTGTTGGGAGAAAGTCCACTTTTAGCCTGGCAGAAGGCTTACTGATCTTTTATGGTTTCATTTTTAAAGGTTTATGATTAAAAAGAACCGGGCTACTGTACATAATTCATCACTCCAAATAGGCTCCCCAATATCCAGATGGCCAGGCCTACACTTCTACTGTCAGTGTGAAGTGGACTAGCTGCCCAGGTCTGGTCTCTGGGAGAATTTTTTTCAGGCTAGATGAGAAGAATACTGAAATAATATCATTATTCTGTCAACTCATTGACTGGCAATGAAATAAATGATCTTTTAAGAGGCTGGTGACACTGTATTTTAATGAGGTCATTAAGGCAACCACTGGTTCTTCCTTTATGCTTTGACCCTGGACAAAAGCTGAAAGAAACTGTTTGTATTATCTGTGAGTAATGATATATTTTCTCCTTAGTACAGTTAATGGGATGGGATGAAAAATATTGAAGGCCAACCTAATATGAATTTATTTTTAGAAGAAGCTAGCCTGTAGCTTTAAATAAGTATGTCATTACTGATTCACTGTTGGCTATTTCTACTGAAATTGACTATAATGAAATCTCCTTAGAACAAACTACCTTATGGTATCATAAAATATCACACACGATAGGAATATAACGCCACTGAGGTTTAAGGCATTAAGACTGTGGTAAAAAGGAAACAAATACATACAATGTACACTAAAAAATAAACTTAGACATGACCAATAATATAGCTTTTGCTTCTTTCCATGCTAGCCTGTAAGATCTGAATATATGTCCATTAGCTCTCATTTGTGTTAGGTAATATACAGTATACAGTATGCATGGTCAATCACCATGCAATCTGTGGGAAACCGCAGCCAATCAATTATAAATATTTTTCAATATTTTTTTCTTAATTTTTTTTTTCTCAAATGTACAAAACACTTTACCCATAGAAGGGGACTTACAGTACGTCATCCACATCTGAAGTCACTGCACCACCCCAGTGCCATGGAGGCTTTCATGACCAAGTATCTAGAGTCTTGGTTTTCCATCTCAGACAAAGGACAGAGCCTTCCGCAGCACTGCACCCCTTTATCACTCTGTGTCACTGGTTTAGAACAGCTGTGGTCCAGAGGGAGGAATGTCTACAACTTATCACTGCAAATAGGCTCCCCAACAACCAGGAGACAGGCAGACCTAAACATCTAATGTCAGTAACTGGTCCAACAGCATCATTTTCAAGTACAACCTGCATTTTACCTGGTCGTTTTCCATCCCAGTACAATAATTCTGTATTTACATGCTCTTCTTGTTCACATTTCTGATTTAAAGAGCCTCAAGAAAAACATTTATATATACTGTATATCTTCTTTATTCAGGGAAACTAGAACTTTTATCAGGATGATTGGTTCCCACTTCAGAGTTAAGCAGCATTCTGGTGCAGCCAGGGCAGCTTCATGAAGTGTTTGAGATGATTTACAATGGGCAGTACAGTTGCGTACAGAGATGAAAGAAATTGTTTCGGTGACACAGACAGCTAGACGATCTTTCTCTCAGTGTTCCTCCTCTCCCATTGTTTCATGCTTCCTAAATAACTCTATAAAATATCTTACTCTGTAGCTTATGTATATACTCAATACATTCTAAAATAAAACCAATAAACCGTAAAAGTAAGCAAATGTGTTAAAAAAAAACTTAAAACCCAAATCCAATGCAATGGATTTGTATTTAGAAAAGAAGCAACAACAACAACAACAAAAATCGTCAAGATTAACAATAAATCAGATGATCAAAAAACATAAGATCATAGGATAAGATAAAATGAGTCTATAATTAATAATCCGTTAAAAACCTCAATTAGTAAAAATGATTTGTAATGTTCTCCCTGTGTTCCTGTAGTTTTCCACTAGAAGCTCTGGTCAAAACATACTGTATACTGGTAGATTAATTGGCTTCTGGGAAAACTGGCCCTGGTGAGTGTGTGAATGTTTTCCATGTGCAGGGTTCTCCCTGCCTTGTGCCCGTTGCTTGCTGGGATAGGCCCCGGCTGCCCTGAAACCCTATACTGGATAAAGCAATTAGAAAATGGATGAATGGATGATTGCATTAATATTCAAACCTGTTGCTGTGACAAAACTAAATCAATTTAGACGCACACAACTACAGTATCTTTAGAAATCACACAATCACACAACTATTTATTTTTTCCTTTGTGTAGAATTATAGTGGTTGCCATGATTTCAGAATAAAAACACCTGAGAGTTCCCTTGGTTACGTAGTGAATTTCTAGCAGACTAAGGAGCTGTCAAACCAAGACAGGGATAAATTCAATGCAAAGCACAGATCAGGAGAAGGGTACAAATAAATATTGAAGTCTCAGAATATTCCTGTGAGTATAA